GCTTCACATGAAGAATCTACTCCACTTGGGTGAAGACCGTTATCTAACAACCCTGCTTCTCAAGTTTCATTCGAAATACAAGACTAAATACATCTTCCGCGCCCATGCCTGGACCATCGCTCCCGACTCCTGGACAGTCTTCATGTCACAACGTCGCCGCTGGATCAACTCTACAGTACACAATCTTATTGAACTGATCCCTCTCCAACAACTGTGCGGCTTCTGCTGCTTCAGCATGCGCTTCGTGGTCTTCCTCGACCTCCTCTCCACCGTCGTCCAACCCGTCATCATCGTCTACATCGGCTACCTGATCTATCTCCTCATTGCCAATCCCGACACCGTCCCCATCACCGCCTTCATCCTCCTCGGCGCCATCTACGGTCTGCAGGCCATCATCTTCATCCTCCGCCGCAAATGGGAAATGATCGGCTGGATGATCATCTACATCGTCGCCACCCCGGTCTTCGCCTTCGGCCTCCCCCTCTACGCCTTCTGGCACATGGACGACTTCTCCTGGGGCAACACGCGCGTCGTGACGGGAGAAAAAGGCCGCCAAGTCGTCGTCTCCGACGAAGGCAAGTTCGACCCGGCTTCCATCCCGCGCAAGAAGTGGGAGGAATACCAGGCCGAGCTCTGGGATGCCCAGACCCAGCACGACGAAGCCCGCTCCGAGGTCTCCGGCGTCTCCTACGGCACCCGCTCCTACTACCCGACTGTCGCCGGCGCCGCGGGCTCTGAGTATGGCGGCGGCGATCATATGACGAGCCAGGGTGGCTACGCCTCGCGCCCTATGTCCCAGCTCGGCATCCCTCGCTACGCCTCCGGCAACCAGTCTCGCATGTCACTGTCCCCGTCCGAGCCGCTCCTCGGTGGCGCGGGCCAGCAGTATCCGCCCTCCCGACACGTTTCCGCGGCGTGCGGGCCCGCGGGCGAGATGGAGATGAGCGATCTCGGTGGGGTGGCGGCGCTGCCGTCCGATGATGCGATCTTGGCTGAGATCAGAGATATTCTGCGCACGGCGGATTTGATGAGCGTGACGAAGAAGAGTATTAAGGCGGAGCTGGAGCGTAGGTTTGGCATGAATATGGATCCCAAGCGCGCGTATATTGGGAGTGCGACGGAGGCGGTGTTGAGTGGGCAGTTGTGAGGAGGGGTAGTCTGGGGTTTGAAGAGGGATTTTCCAAAAGGGTGGTGGAGGTGTGGCTGGATACGCTGGGCATAATGGATGGAGTCGATGTTATACTATCATCATCATCACGGCTAATTTTGCTACTTTTTCATGTGCTTTGAGATTCGGCGCATGTTAGCTACCACGGGCATGGACTGGGGATTCGGATATAATGCGGTAATGCAAAATTGGGTGTATATAAATACTTCAAAGCATATTGCCGTTTGCTACACAAGATTCTGTCTAGATTTGGTCAGTATTGCTTTTCACTAGGTAAGCTAGGAGAAAGCTAAGAAGCTACGAGCTAAAAGCTAGGAAGGCTCATGTGACCGCGCATGGGCCAGAAGCCCACAGCGCGAAACTATCTCGATGGAATCAACCACAAATTTTCAGACTGCCAAGCTAGAGTAAAGAATGATATAGTAGCTCACATCATCCCCGTCCCAGCCTAACATCATCATGTTGTGCGATGTCTGCCTCCATGGCCTTGAAGGCATGTGGGATCCTAATCGCACGACCCGTCTCGCCTTCAAATCTGACTTAGAGAGTGACGATCCAGACCCGCGGGGAAAGTATCTAGACTTCCTACGCAAGAGATCGCAATCACAGACCAGTCCAGCCACAGAACTGCGGGGGAAAAGGCCAGAGGTAGAAATGTACATCTACGGACACCACAGAACCGATTCGAGCTGGGAGTCAAGCTCTGAAAAGGGATGCGTAATGTGCTATCCGTTCGAACCGAAAGCGGGCAAGCACAAACTTGCGAAGATTCTGGATCCGGGATGGTTTACGTGCTTCCAGATTCACGGTTTGGAGGAAAGCTATCCGGTAATGCAAATCGATTATATGGGAGGCTCGAGTGGCACACTTCCTCTCATTCCTGTTGGGGGTAAGAATTCCTTTTTCTGTTTCTTGGATCGAATGTCTATCTATTACTATCGCCAAATCTTTGAATAGAATAAACCTCAAAAGCTAAAATCAATGAAAGGGACTTTCTACACTCAGAAATCCTTTGCCGCACTTAAAGATAAAAGCCGCTGATCTTAACGAACGTTCCTAGGTGTTATTTCCCTAGATCATTACATCTACTGCAACAATGATTTTTGAATCTCCAGTGTTTCATTCACTGGCCCCTCCCTTTCTCATTAGATATGTCTTCGAGGCTCTGAAATTCTGTTTGTAGCAGAGAGTGGCATGTGTGCTATTGACTTATATCTTCCTACTATATGGACCTTCAGAACCTCGAAGACATATTTGATTACAAGGAGAGGCTGCAGTGGTCAAGAAAAGAGGCATTCTGTTCAGGTGTTTGCATATTGTGGCAGAAACCTCGACTAATAATATTATACAGTTCCACGCTGGGACAGACATTTGAATTTTGACTTTTCCTCCTCTACCGGAGACGCGAAAACATGGGCATTGATCGACAATTGGTTGGGCGAGTGTTGTGAAAAGCATATCCGTTGCAGGAGTAGCCTCGTAGTTCGAAAGCTTCCTACTCGCCTCCTCAAGATCTGCGAGGACTCTTTCATACTCGTCTCCAGCGACGATATTCCTTCCTCGGAACGGTACATTACTCTCAGTCACTGTTGGGGCGAGCCAGGCACTGGAGATAACCCAGAGGCTGCAGCCCCAAATGGCGGGAAGGCAACCATAGAAAGACTGAAATTACTTCGAACGACGCACGAAAAGTTACACGCCCTGCAGGCCATATCGAGCTTGCCAAAAACTTTTCGTGAAGCTATGGGTATTACTTCGAGACTTGGTATCCAGTACCTTTGGATAGATAAGCTTTGCATATACCAAGATTCACCTGACGACTGGCGGGCTGCTGCTAATACAATGCAAGACGTATACAGAAATGCATTTCTGAATATATCGGCTCTCGGTGCCAAGAATGAAGATGAAGGCTGTTTTTTTGATAGAGATCCAAGAGACATTGCGCCAACTATCATTCGCCTTCAACAGACACCTGACTCAGAGCCGGGGAGATTTAGGTGTTTGTTGGAGAAAGCCTATGCCTGGCGTTTGTCTTTCGGGCGGGATCCTGTTGCATACAGAGGATGGGTGGTGCAGGAACGGCTGCTATCGCCCCGTGTCCTTCACCTTGGCAAACAACAAGTGTTTTGGGAGTGTAGGGAACAGAACGCTTGCGAACTACATCCAGAGACTGTTTATTGTTATGAAGACCTCCAGCAAAAAGCTGATAAGGATTATGTTGAAGTTGAGGCCAAGTCAGCAAAGGACGAGAAGCCACACCTCTGGAAACAGTTGCTAAACGCGCCAGACAGGCAATTTTGCCATGAAAATGCCAAGGACAAAGACCTTGAGCAACTTTTTCTTGATTGGAATTCAGTAATCAAAGCTTACGCAAGGTGTGACTTAACAGTCCCTTCTGACAAGTTGGCAGCTGTATCAGGTCTAGCAAATGATATGAAGCGCGCACTAAGTACGTTAAGACCAGATCAATCACACCGTTACTTTGCCGGCTTGTGGGAGGACAAGCTTCTTGATGGCACGATATGGCGTGTGACGAGTCCGGCCAAGAGGACGAAAGAGTACAGAGCGCCTAGTTGGAGTTGGGCCAGCATCGATGGTTCGCTGGAATTCCGACCAGATGCTCGAGATGGGGCGAATGCAATCGAGCTTGCGACGGTCTGGAAAGCATTCACGGAACACTGGAGAAATTTGGAAACGGGAGAAATAAAAGGCGGATTTCTCAAGCTTATGGGACCGTGTTTCCGGATGACAGTTCATCCACAGGATGCAGAGCCGTCCTACTCGTATAAGAATGAGCGAACGGTTGCAACATTTCGGATACTTGACAAAGAAGATGTACCACCTTCGCTAACTCAGATTGCCTTACAAGCTAGAGTGTACTTCGATGATCTGATGGATGTAACTGACGAAGCGTTTTGCGTTGCCATAAAAGGGCAACAATCAGATGAAGAGACTTTTGAGGCTTCTGTGCTGGTGCTCTCTCAGGTCGATAATTGTGTGGATGAAGAGTGGAAGAGAATTGGAATTGTGTCATGCAAATTCAAGAGTCAGGAAGACGCAAGAAGCTATTTTAAACACTTTGCGCAGAAAGGAGTCGTAATCGTTTAGGAGCATGTGGAGGAATAAAGATTGCGCTCACCTGATGTAGTGACCAACTAGGTTCTGTCTATTGCAGAGTTTCCGGTGCTACGTAGACTGGTCATATTAGAGTATGTGACGTGCTCTTCGCTGAGAACTTATCTGGGATGTACTGGAGCTCGCCATGTTGGCCTAGAGGCATCTTCACCAGTAGCAGCAAACTTGCCAACGCCGCACTGACCCAATTCACTTCACCGGACAAACACATCCTGCAGTCCAGGACTTTGTGGCCGCTTTCAAGACCTTTACTTCTCAGATGGTCTACAAATCGATACTTCAATGATGGCTAGGCTGGCTTCGAAATCCCCATATCCTGCCTCGTTGGTATTGCCGAGTTTTAGGGGGCCGCGAACTGGGCTCCTTCTGATGTGGCGAAAACGTAAGGTAATAACTCCCTGCTTACAGGCCTGACTTCAGGGTTTCGGCAGTTTGACTAGAATAGTGGTCCTGGATCTAGGCACCATTCAGGTTAAACCACGCTAGCTCAGGTTGCACTTATCTTAGCTCACGACAGCTTAGGCGTGCTCAAGTTTGCTCATGATGGCTCAGTATGGCTTAGTGACAGCTTCGGCTGCTGGCCCAGCGCTCCTGTTTCGCCTCTGTATAACTCACGTTTGAAAGCCGAAATGAATTTTGTATGAGGTCGACCACTTTGTCCATGAAGATTCCCCGCTATGCTCATGTCAAGTGAACTGTCAGGAATATGCAGCAGTTGCTTGTATTGAACTTGACTAGAACCAGCTATAAAGGACGGAAGATATACATGTGCGTTATATGACGCAATATTCAACGCGGCTTGAGCCTTTTGGTCCAGAGGAGGTCCAAATGCATGCGCGGATGTCTGCAGACATGACTGAAACGAAACACGGCTCTCACTCTGCAAGCAGCCGTACAATTTCCTCATGGCCACATTCCATCGCTATCCGCAGCGCCGGAAGAACAACGACATCGTCGCGCTCCCTCAAGATACGCACAACCATTGCGTGACCCATGAATGCGGCGTGCATGACTGGCGTCCATCCATACACACAGGTCGAGTTGACGTGGACATCTTCTCATTCAACGAACAGCTGCACAATTTCTGCTCGGCCTTTCCTTGCTGCCACTGTTAATGGCGTTTTGCCCTCAAAGTCCTTTAATTCGGTATTGACATCCTCTCGATTTACCAGCATTTGTACAATCGCTATGTGGCTGTGCTCTGCTGCCCACATCAGTGGCGTTTTGTTATCATCTTCTGAGTTAACGTTAACATCCTCTCGATCTATTAGTAGCTGTACAACTGCTGTATGTCCATACAATACTGCCCATGACAGTGGCGTTATGCCATGGTTGTTTTTCGAGTCAGCGTCAACATCCTCTCGATCTATTAGTAGCCGTACAACCGCTGTGCGACCACTCGATGCTGCCCATGACAGTGGCGTTATGCCATTGATGTCTTTGGAGTCGGCTTCGATCTCTGGCCGCTGCAGTAAAAGCTGTGATATCGATGTATGGCCCCTTTTTACTGCAAGCTGTAATGGTGTGTGGTTGTCTCGATCCTTATAATTTACGTGAATGTCGCTATGATCAAGTAGCAATTGGACGATTGACTCATGGCCCTGCTCAGCAGACCAGGCGAGTGCACTTCGACCGAAGTTATCATTGTAATTAGGATCAACTGACTCCGACTTAAGAGACAGTTGAATAAGCTTTTTGTCGCCTTCCTTTGCTGCGCAGCACAACTCTTCGCTAGCTTTGATATCGATGCTGAGACTTTTTTCGAGGGCTGTCTGTCACTGCCTCTTGTAAATCTCTCCTAGAACTTGATCTCTGGGTACCAACGTGGCGTTCTTCTTCTGCGGAGCTGATCACGGCGGTTTTGTGATGTCGGACCATGATGTCACGCCTTTCCCTCACAGACTGTAGTGAGCTGTAAATCAGGGTTGTCGTCTCGTCGTCACTTCCAAACAGTTTTACAGAAAGTATGAAAGCCGAGTTGTAAAGTTCTTCAGCAGGCTCTAATTCGCTCAGTCGATGGAAAACATTTGCTAGTTTATACAGAACGTAAAGTGCCTGTTCATCGCTCGGCCATGCGTCGCCATGTATAACTCTTTCAGATTCGACAAGCTGCGTGAATAGGATCTTTGCTTTCTCTAATTGGCCATTGATTGAACAGACTTCAGCCATTCGAGCAATGGGAGAGCTAAGACCTTGAGCTATTTGTCCAGTCAACAGGAGGCTATCATCGTTGGCAGCAAATCTCTGTAAAAGAGAAATGCATCGGTCCAGAGGAGCAATATAGATACACACTATCTTTGGTGTTCTGTTATGTATGAGGCTGTGATTCCTGAAGTCTGTCAGCACCCACTTCAACATATCCACGAATCCAGACTACGAATATCAAAACCTCTAAGCAAAACAGACTTACCCTTGAGACACTTCTATGATCCTGTCAGCAAGTTCATTTGCCGCCTCAACGATCCAAGATCTCTTTGTCGGATCCATTACCTCTAAGCACCATTGACTGATAGCTCGATGTAGTGTAAAAGCTTTCATGATGTGATCGCCTTCATATTTTATCTTCAAAAGACAGAATTCGGCCAAAACCGTGAGTGCGAGACGAAGATCAAGACTTGTGGTTAGAACTCCCTTCAGTGATTTGGTATCGTCATCCAGAAGTGCTAGCTCTGGATTCCTGTCGAACTGGAATCTTTCAACAAAACACATTGGGATCTGCCATGGCCCAAGTATTGCAATGAAGTTTAGCAGCAGTGCAGCCTTAGGATGTTGAAGTGAAATGAAGTCGTACAGCATGCAGAAAACTGTCCATACGGAGCGTTCTTTGTCGTATGCGAGGATACCTCGTTGAGGATATTCATCCATGAGCCTTCGATACTAAGCATTATAATCAGACAGAAACTTTGAAACTGGAACAGCCTTCCTTTGAATCAGAACGCCGGCTTGCTCGATCGCCAGAGGTAGGCCGTTGAGCGCTTTTACGATAGACGAAGCGGATCGACTATCTATACAGAATCAGCGTTGAATCACATCACTGACGAGAAGGATATTTACCCTCGCTGGACATTTCCGTGTGCAATGATGTGTCGAAGCCTCTTGAGAGGAGGAGCTTACTGCCACTTTGAGGATCGAGACCTTCTACTTGCAATTTTTCTATCCGAAAAACTCTCGCTATCTGTTCTTGAATACTTGTGACTATCATAGAACCTTGCTCGCAGGAAATTTTGTATCTTGTGTAGTTTTCTAACTCCAAATTGTCAACACTGTCAATAATGAGAAGCCACCGAGAATGTCGCGTTGTCTGAAGCCATGAGATCACCTTTCTCGAATAGTCAGAGCCTCTGTACGTCGAAGGTAAGTCCTGTGCAGGCCACTCAGAGGAAATCACCTCTGCGGCTTCAGAAAATGACTGGTTGGCATACTCAATGGTTGACGCATTGATCCATATAACTGCCGAGAAAAGCTGACCATGTTCCTTGATAAAACGGAGAGCAAGCTGAGTCTTTCCAGATCCGCCGATGCCATAGAGCAGGAGACCTTTCAGGCCAGATCTTGCAGGGTCGAGAGCTTCGCGCATTCTACGCAGTTCATCTTTTCGGCCGTGGAAAGTATCGGTGCTTGTAGGAAGCTCTGTGCGTACTAAGTTCGAAAGGAAATTCGCTCGTTTGTTCAATGACACATCTGTGAAATCATAAGTCAATCGAATTAGCTTTGAAGCATATCTAAATTGTTCACACCACCCTTGTACGACGGGTAGGCAAGTCCAATGCTTAGTGGAGAATATTGGTTGGAAGCCACCCCAATTCATAAACGGGGGGAAATAAATGATTATAGATTTTTGGTCTCATATCCTCGAACCGTAATCCTGTGGCTATGCGAGAATAAGGTGTCGGAATTCGGCACATGCCGGTCTTTTATTGTTGCAGGATCTGTGTTGGGGGAGGGGGCAACTGATGTTCTATGCTAGCCATCGGACACCCTGACCAGCCTATGGAAACACGAATAATTCAGTCTTGCCTACCTGCTCCCGCAAGTCTCCGTATCTCGCGGCGGACATCTTTGTATACTTTGTCTTCCCTCGAAGAATATTTTGTCATTTCCTGTCGGAAGTCAGCATTGTCAGACATGGTCTACGTAGGGTTTCCTTACGACATGGTTTGCGTGAATTGGGTAGAAGAGCTCTCCAGCGACAATCGCTGACTCCTTAGGGACGATGTGTGACTTGAGATATGGTAGCTGCTCATAAAAGCAAACGATGGCGAGAGGTAACCTCTCGCTTTTCCGCTTTTCCATTAAGTTGTGGAAGGAATCTCTAACTCCTGCCAACCTATCCGAACCCCGTTGAAGTGATCCTAAAAGGTCAGTATTCGCAGGTTTGACGATGTTCACAACACTAGCTAACGTATTAGCCCAGTCTGCATGACCTGAGCCAGAATGAGGGGTCCCAATGAAACAAATTCCTGTAGTCGACGTTTCAAGAGAGCGGATGTGGTCAAAACGAGATTTGTCAATATTATCCTAGCTATATCAGAGAGTTCTAGGTCATTTAGCTGACTAATACTCTCGGAAACAGAAGGATGAGATCCCGAAGATACAGGGGTTGTTACGGTATATATATACAGCTTCATTTCCTAGCCAGATAAAAAGAACAGAGAGAGAGATCTTGACCTCGACGATCATTGCCACCTAAAATTCTGACAAGATTCTCGTGAAAGGTACAGCGCGTTCTCGACTAGCAAGCCTCCGAGGCTATGAGCAACAAAGACGATACTCCTATTGGTCTTGCTCGGCGTTAGCGAAGTATCTCTCCCAGCTATCGCAGAATATCGATTCAGGACCCCTGGACCCAAAAGCTGAAAGAATAAGCAGCCATGGATTTTCTGACCTTGGATTCTCAAAGTATGTTTTGGAGGCTATGAAAGAGTAGACTGACAGGATCTCAGGACATTTCAATTTTTCACTATATGGGAATTGGGAGCCTCCTGATTGATATTCTGTGCTAGCTAGATACCGGACACGCCTAAATGGAGGAAAAGTACGTACCGCAATCTCATGCTTGCAATCCGCCAAGACTCCGAGAAGGTCCCTAGCGTAGCCAGATAGATCATCCTGGGCTGCATGTTTCCAAAAGTTGACGACATCTGCATCGTAACCAAATGTCATAATTCGCGCATTTGGAAAGTCTTGCGCAAAGAGATCTCTCGGCCCATGTACGCCGCTGCCATTGTGCAACCATGTAGTGTAGGCGCTGCCAGTCAACCCATGAACGAAAACAATGTCCGTAATGGCGGACGGCGGATTATGAAGCACTCGTATACCATAGTGGTTCTCCTTTCCGATTTTATCGACAGCCTCAGCAGCGTTACTGGTATCTGTATGAGCAACACAAGGCTCCGCGGGCTGATGTTGGGCGGTTGGGACAGAGGATGCGACCTCGCGAGTAGGCTGAGACCCATGCGGCACACGGACGTTATGCTCTTGACTAGTGGTGACAGTCTGGGTGGGAGAGGTCAAAGCTGCAGCTGTCATGGTCGAAGAGCCTGGTGCCAGCTCGGGCGCGGAGGACTTGTCGTGTTTCGAAAAAGGTCGGATTTTATTCAGGGTTTTCCGCATGACTGAAGCGTGGAGTAGGGTAGAGTACGATATTCTCAGCGAAGCTAGTGGCTAAAAGATCAGACGGTGTAATTCCAAGTAGCTGCACATGAGATATTAAAAGGACCCTATCGCGGCGCGAGAGATCTGAAGCGAAAGTGAATAACTAGGCAGAGGTTAGGACGACTTCGAGCACAAAATAGCCATTATCTGGGCCTAAGTCTTGTTCAAATGTCGAATGATGGACCGATGATGGACCGATGATGGACCGATGACTGAGTGTATAGAGATGAGGGAAAAGAGAGATTCAGACGAGATGAGGTCAAGCGGAGGCTAGGAGTCTGCAAAAGCCACTGCACGCCCCTGCAAGGCTGGTGCTGAGGGCCATGCAGGTTGATTGGCCCGCGAATATCAAGCGGTTGGGATTGAAGAGTACGCTGTGGCTTGTTCTTTGAGATCTTGAACGTGATAACAGCGGAGCGTATATCATTTACACTGACAATGAAGCTCTCGGATCTAATGTATGACTTGTGTGGAGCAAAGGAGTGTGTTGGAAAATAGGCTTCAGCTTGCTGTGGTGGAGCTTCATAGGCACAAGTTGCGAATATATCTGCTTGAAATCTCAATTAATCCGCTCGAATCTGCGCTAGCCATTAAGACGTCCGATTTCTAATCCAAATGAGGGGATGGCGCCAGATCTGAAGATCGGTCACCCAAAAAATCGCAAAAGCACTCAAGAAATGTCGCGTCCTCCATCCCTCCTGTTACTGAATATTTTCTATACTTAGTACGTCCGAGGTAGGTCTAGTTGACCGGATTAGTCTGGCAATAGCCTTGCTGAAGGTCACTGAGGGATTGGCATAGGTAGTTGCCACTGTCGTTGCACATGTAGCAACCGGTGTCCTCGGTGCATTGATTTTTGCCCGCAGTACAGCGGAAGCCGGGGAGGATGAAGCGCTTCTCGATACCGTCTCGCTTGAGGAGAGAGCTGGCCGTGGGGTCACTCTCGTGGTACTTGACTGTGTTGCCGGCGATGTTGGTGGTGATGATGCCGTCTTCGTTGCTGTTGGATTG